CTCCATGCCCCTCTTTCGCCGTAAGCACAAGCCGTCTGCTGCCGCGTCTGCATTCCGATCTGTCGAGCATCTGCCCGCTGCCCCTGGCGTCTACCCCGACGACGATCTCGACCGTCGTTTCTCCGTCTCCACCTCCCGCGAGCGACTCCCTCCATTGCCTGTCACTGCATCCTCCACCACCAACACCAACACCACCTCCCCGCCTTCTTCCACTGCTGTCAACACCACCAACACCATCGCTTCTACTTCCACCTCCACCACGCCAGGTGCCTCTCCGCAACTCTATCAACACGACAATAATACTCAGGAATTTTCCACCCATCCCCTGCGTCGCTCCAAAAGCCAGCGTCATACCAGCCCGCGAGGCAACAACAGTAACGACAACACTCCGGTACGACCAGCGTCCCCTACACCTATCCTCGATGCTGACCCTCTCCATCAGTCGTGGCCGCTGCCACCCGAGCCACTACAACCTGTCGAGCCAGAACCTCGCAAATCCCGTCGCAGTCTCTTCTCGCTTCACTCGTCTGCAGCCGCGCGCGACCAGTCCGGAATTCTGCAGCGCAGCCGCTCGGTCAAGAAAATCTCCACGGGTCGATCCTCCAAACAACAGCGACCGTTGTCCATAGACACCACGTCCGAACGCCGCCCGGGAACCTCTTGGTCGAGAGAGCATGAATTAGACGCCCCGTGGCCCAAGGTTCCTCAAGCCCGTCGACCCCAACAACCGCCGCAACAACAACAACCGCAGCAGCAGCAACCGCCGGCGTCAATTCAGGGTCAGGCACCTCAGCCTCAGCCCCAATCACAAACTCCGACGCCGTCCCATACTCCTGCAGAATCTCCGGTTCAGCCTCCGCGGAACCACCCTCAAGCACAACAGCAGCCAGCGAGTCGATCACCCATGCCGCAGAACACAGGTCCGACGCCGACGCTCGACACCCGACCTCCTCGTTCACCGCATCCTTCCGTCCAACGCTCCAATACCGACAGCGGCCTGCTGGAACATCTGACTCGCCCGTCACCGGTGGAGCCGTCCCGACAGCCCGCTGACTTGGCCCCAACACCGCCCCAACTGGACCCCACGGTCGGCCCTCGACCTTCTTCCCGCCAATCCCTTGGGCCCCCTTCACCATTACGTCCTCTCCCCGTTCATCCAGACACGGTTGCCAGTGGCATGCCCGACCGTCCATCCGCGCCCCCAGGACAGTCTCCTGTCCCTGGGCATTCCCCTTATCCGGAAGCTGGCTTCCGGAACAATACCGCGTCGACCCCAGAGCAGGGCCGGAACACGCCCAGTTCGCGTGATAGCCGACGTGATCGTGAGGATGCCGAGATAGATGTGCGGGCTCTAGTCCAGAAGCATGATGAGCTTCGTAAGTAGCTGCTGCCGCCGCTGTGGATGAACCATCGCTAATCAAATGCAGAGGCGAAATACTCCAAGGTTAAGCGTTACTATTTCGAAAAGGAAGCGCAGGTACAGCACCTTCAGAATACCGTAGCACACCAACGAATGGCCGTGTCCCGCACCGTACTGGACGACAACGAGTATGCCAATCGGTTCGGTCGACTGGACGGTGCGATCAAAGATCTAGCCTTTTCCATCCGTAAGGACTGGGCGACGCTGCCCTCCTGGCTGAACGGGTTCGTCAATGACGACGCACACACCACAGGCACCAAAGAGATGACCGCGATCGGCCGGGCGGTGGTGAGCCGGTGGTTAGTCGAGGAACTGTTCGAGCGCTACTTCCACCCAGCCTTGGAGCCCACCTTCAGCCGACAGCTGAAAAGCATCGAGATGAACCTGCGACGACAGCAAGCGCAGCCGTCTACAGAGGAAGACAAGGAGAATGCAATCGCGCGCATCTCCAACTGGCGGCGCACCACACTGGACGGGCTCACGAACCTGCAGGGTCCGCAGGCGGACGAGTACCGGGCCCAGCTCATCGACCGACTGATCAACAGCCTGGTAGCGACGCTGGTAGCACACTTGCACGACCCGCCGCCGCCGGGGCTGGACAACGGGGCGCGCATGATCGTGGAGAACGCCGTGGGCATTGCCGAGAAGATCCCGCTGGAGTCGCGCGACATTTGCGTCGAGTACATCCTCCCAGGCACAGTCGTCCAGGAGGGTACCATGAAGGTCGAGACGGGACTGCCACCACTGACCCATGTGCGGACCGAGTCTGGTGGCTCCGCCGAGCAAGAGCGGGCAGAGGGCCCGGACGAGACAGAGGGAGGCGACACGGGACCGCCACAGCGGGAGCAGCGTATGCGGTCGGTGTTCAGCTCGTTGATGGGACGGCGTCCAGGACCGTCCGCTCCAGCCGGGGAGACTCGAGAGGAGCGCGAGCGCGGACCGGGACGTATCCGATTTTCGTCCTTTGTGACGGCGGAAGTGAGAGGAAGAGGACCGATGAATGTATTGGTGAAGGCGCCTGTATATGTAGAGTGATGTCCCTGCTACATACAGAAGTTACGATAGAGAATATCAAAGAATGATATGATATGATATGATATGATGACATGATGCATTATTATTATTAGTAGTACATTACCCAATCCATCCATCCATCCAATCCCATCCAATCCACACCAATATTAATCTATTCTATGCCAGCATATACAGCATACATACCCATAGCGAAAGAACAACAAGTCAATGCACGCAAGCATGCACACACACCACCACCACCACACACCACCATCTGTGTCCAGCACATCCATGATCTCACATAATACACCAGGTACTACAGTAGTAAGTATCTCACTACTCCTCATTAACAACATCCAACCCCCAACCAACAAGGTTATAAACACCCAAACCACCACCTCCTCTTCCTCTGCACCTCCTCATCCCCATCATCCTTAGGACCCCCTTCCAAATAAACAACCACCCCCAACACCTCCAACAGAAACCTCTCCCGATACGCCACAGCCCGGACTACATTCCCATCCAAATACTCGTTCATTTTCCGGAGGAGGATGTCAGTGTCGCTGTGTCGGGCTAGGGTGAGGAAGTCGTCGGCTGTGAGGGAGAGTTCCACTTCTTGTTCTTCTTCATCTTCATCAACATTATTATTTTCCTCGTTGGGTTTCTCGTTATTGATGTTATTGGTGTTGGCGTGGTTGTTATTCTTCCCTCCGGGGGAAGAAGTAGCAGACGTGGATGTTATAGAGTCAAGATCAAGTAAATCCTCCACGCCCCTTTCCAGGGATTTATCATGATCAATCCAGACGCAGAAGCCCTCGAACATGCCATTCCGGGTGAGGAAGGACATGACGGATGAGGGGTCTGTGCGGTTGAGGATGTGGCGGGGGAGTTGGATCCCACTATCTTTGGTGGTTGATGCAAGCATGCGGTGGAGATGTGTTGCGCTGCTGAGGTCGAGGAGGAGGTCGGTTTTTTCAGTGCCATTTCCTCCACTTCCAATCCCATTCGCATTGGTGGTGGTAGGGGTAGCTGTACCACCACCACCACCACCGCGTCCCCCCGTAGTAGATAACAACGAAGCAGACGTAGTACTCGAAGACAACAACGGGCGATCATACCCCACCCTAACCCTCCAAAACCAATTACACGCGATGAGACTCACAATACACGGTATTAACACGACATACCCATACCACATAGTGGCGGTAACCATGCTGGCCGCGCCGGCCACAAGGCCATTAATCCCATTGACGAGGGCATGGAATTGCAGACTGCGGAAGCGGAGTTTCAATGGGTGGTGGTACATTCGAACTTCTTCGATACCGATATCTTCTTCGTCTCCCGGGTTAGGATTATTATTATTATTACCGGTACCTTCCCTTGTTGTCGTTGTGGATGTGGATGTGCTGGTGATGTTCTGGCAACTTCTCCAACACACCTGAAACCTACCCACCAAATACCCCGACCAAATGGCATTAACGAGTCCAAATACCGCGGCTAATCCATTGCCTATGTATCCACTGAGCAGGTTGCTGGCGACGTAGACGCGATGATTCGCGCCGAAGATCGCCATGATGGTGCCTGTGCCGACGAGAAGCGCACCGAATCCCATTAGCGCGTCCATGAGGATCCGGTCGACGATTTCGGTGCCGAGTTCGCGGAAGTTCACGCTGAGTCTGCTTCTTAGTAGTAGCTCCGCTTGTGTGTGAGTGGTTGTGGTTGTGGTTGGGGTTGTATTTTGTGTTGTTGTGTTTGTAGTTGTTGTTGTGGTGGTGGTAATAGAGTCCAGTAACTCGCGCAGATACCGCCTCTCTTTCAGGAGTAGTTGCACGTTCGTGTAACTGAGGTAAAAGTCCCGAGCTGCTACTAGAGTTATGAGGAGGGCGATTGGCCCCCCGATGGCCATAAAGACCATCGCGTATTTCGGAACGGGGATCTGGTTCCACACATTGGCGGCGAAGTCGGCTGCATTGGCGAGTTCGAGGAAGCCGACGCCGGCGAGGAGGGAGTTGCGGAAGAGAGGTTGGTGAGATAATTGGAAGTTGTGGTTGTGTTTTCGTCTTGATTTTTGTTTCTGTCGTGAGGTGCATTTGCGGAATGGATTGAGGATGGTGAGTTTGGTGGATGGTTTTCGGTGGGCGCGGGTGTAGGTTACATTATTAGTCGGAATGATGGTGGTGGTAGACGTGGTTGTGCTGGGGGTTGAGGCGGAGGTGATGGTGAGGTCGCTCGACTCGCGGAGGAGCTTGGGGATGGGAGGAGTTGACATGGTGGTGGTGAGGTGGGAATTGGACCACCATGGGGGAGGGACATGGGGTGAGGAGGGAAGAAGAGAGGAGAAGAGAAGAGGGAAGAGAAGAAGGGGGAAGGGGTTGGGGGGGATGGGAGATGGGCTATTTGGCCGGATTGGGCCTGGGAAATGGGGTGGGGCCCGCCCTGTAGGGCTGAGCCGATCATCCGTGGTTGGCCCTATTTTTGGGGTTACGTGGCCTGCTAGTTAGCAGCTGCAGATTGCGTCCTTGGATGATGGTTCACCGCTAAGATAGTATACGTATATTCAGTGGATCAATTCTATTCTATTATACACAGGTGTTTATACACATCATATTTATAAAAACTTTGCTTCCCGCACCATCGACGCCTGGAAATATCCCGGAATCACTTCGTACTCTCCCACCGCCTCGAACCCATACTTCTCATACAGGGGCCGTCCCGCAGGCGTGGAAGCCAAGAAAGTCGGCACACCTTTCTCATCTGCCCGGTCCAGTCCCCAGCGCAGTAACCTCGATCCGATGCCCCGGCCGTTGAACTGGGGGAGAGTGCCCAGCATGTCGAGGTCTGAGCGATTAGCATGATGCAGGTCATACTACAGTAAGAAATGAACAACTCACAGAAATACCCCTCTTTCCTCCCTCCCATGACCCTCTTCTTCTCACTATTCATCAAACCAAAGAATCGATCACAGAGATCGGCATCCGAGCTTGGGGGCCAAACTGTCTTGGTTTGATTTTTCTCACCATCTGAAGTCATCCCCGCTGGGACAGGATACCACCATTTGGCAAACGCAGCTACCGTCCCCTCTTCACCAGCAGTAACTTTCAAGAACGCAGTGCAGGGAGTAGCAGCAGCCCGCGACTGTTCAATCTCGCGCGCGAACTGGTCTACCCAGAAACTACGCACATCCTCGGTGATGGGAAACATGCGTCGATTGAACGGGTCGGAAAAAGCATGCAGGAAGACATCTGCGATAGCGGGGCTATCACTGGGTGTCGCGGGGAGAATGCGCAAGTCATCATTCTGAGGTTTTTGGTGGGAGCGTGCGGGGGTTGGCTTGGGTTGTGAGGGGGTGCTGATTAGGCGGGTTTGCAGCTGTGGACGGATGCATGTTTTGGGCATGGTGGGGAGACGCAGTCGATGCATGATGAAGATAATGGAATGATTTCGGTTCTGATCGGGTACACTAATGACCGACTAGCTGACTTGCAAAGCTTGAAATAAATAATTGAGAATTGCTTTTTTGACTCATTTGATTCTTGTGAAAAAATTGCCACTTTTCGCTGCTATCACGTGGTTCCGATGGAATGATTCCGAGATCGTTCCGAGATGAGTGTGTGGAGATGCGATTGATCGGGCCATCTTTAGGACATCATGTTGTGGAAAAATGAAACTGGCGAGAAACTGTTGAAGATTGAGAGTGACGAAATATTATGTTAGGTAGCTAAATAGTATTAGCTGTGCTAAGCTGAGCTACTAGGCAATAGTCGTAAGACTAGTAGGATATTGGGATAGGTGTAGGACGAGCTTACTGTGCACAGGCAGTAATTTTTGGCTAATATCTATAGTAATTCACTATATTTTACTCATTATTACGTAGTAATGCCCATTCTTACTCACAATCTGTGACACTCAGCCACCACAACGATTTACAGATGCCTGGCAACCCGCGGATTCCGAGCTGCATATAGGGCTGACCAACAAGCCTCTGGTCCGCAAGGCGAGACCCCTAAGCTTTTGCAACCGCCCGCCAGGCCAATCACGGCTCCCAAATACACCTGTTGCCCCACAATGGCTGTACCCTGGATGGCACAAATAGGGTCCAGACGAAACAAACATGCAGCACACCAGGCAGCCATATTCTAGGGGTCGACAGTTCTTCACGATGTTGTAATTTACAGAGACGGGATATTGAGAGAAGTCAGTGATGGCAGACCGAAGGATGGTACCAACTATTTGAGTTCATTGTCGTCAACGGCGATTCCCACACGATGAAACCAATCTTCTGAAGTAGAGCCATTAGGCTTCCTCATAACGGCGATTCCCGTGTAATTACTGTCCCTGGCCCCCACAGGCAGGGTTCGCGCCGATCAACAGCTTCGGGCAGTTCAGCGTCTCGCTCACACGCTGCGCCCAATGGCTGTGCTGACGGCAGCCTAGAGGGTCTCCTCTTTGTCCGATTTCTCCTATATGTCCTGAGTAAAATTGCACTTCTTCTGCTTGCTCTCTTCTGTTTCTCCTTTTCTATCTGTATATGTATCTGAAAACCTGTACTGCACCATATCAATTATACACACTTCATATGAACACTCCAACATGACCTCTTCTACCACCCGCAAGCAGAAGAAACCCCAGCAGTCCAACCGCAAGGTGCTGCTGGCCGACACCATCGGACAGACGCTGTACGAGCGTCTCCTACAAGCCCGACTCGGCTGTCCCATCGCCCACTGGGCGCCTGTGCAACATCCTCTGGCTCCTCAGCCCTCATCCACCATCAACTGCAACCTCAGCATCAACAGCACCAGCACCAGCACCCTCACCACCTCCCCATCAGCCTCCACCTCCGACATCAAAAGCATCCCCTCCAGCCGCACCAGCCATGACTCACTCCACAAACGCTCATCATCATCCTCATCTCTCCCACCCCTCCCCTCCAACCGCATCATCACCCTCGGCGGACCTTGCACCAACCTCTCCACCCTCACCACCCTCACCCACTTAGCCGCCAAACACAGCCAGGTCTCGCACATGTCTCTGCTCGACCCGAGCTATACCGTCTTCCTCAACACCACACACACCGCCGCGCTCTGCTTCAAAGTCGTACACCAAACAGCCATAGTCGCCGGCGACCCCATCAGCTCGGAAGAGAACATCCCATCTCTCCTCTCCGAATTCAAAACCTATCGCAAATCCCACCTCCTCGGCATGGCCTTCCTCGGCGCCAGCCCACGCCTCACACACTACGCCCAAACCCAAAGCCAAACCCAGACGACTACAAAAAACAATTGGACAATGCTCCACTTCGGAACCTCACGCGTCCTCAATCCCACCACCAACGCCCTCCTCAACGAATCAACCGGAAAGCGTCTCATTTTACAAAACAAACAACTACTGAACCCAAATAAAGGCGGAATAACCCTCGACATATACATTCCCGGCAGCAATACCACATTAGAAAAAGACCTCCAAGATATATACACAACATGGCGCACCACCCGCAACACCTCATCTACTCCCCAAGCCTTCATCACCGAATACACCTCCCCCTTCTCATCGACTCTACTCCCCTCCCTCATGACCTACATCTACGCTAAGGATAAAAACGGCGTGCCGCTCGCCTTCGCAGCCCTGCGCTACTGCGGCGCTAATAACGGATACCATATCGATCCGTGCGTGGCGCTACCGACGGCTCCCAAGGGACTGACAGATCTGTTGATGTTCGCTGCGATGGCGCTGTGTCGGCATGCCGGGGTGGGTTATTTGAGTGTGGGGTTTGAGCCATTAGAGGAGTTGGGTGAGGTCAGGGGGCTGAGGGGCCCGTTGGAGCATTTGGCGAGAGGGGCGTATCGGTTTGCGTTTAAGCGGTTGCCGTCGATTCAGGGAAAGAAAGCGTATTATGATAAGTGGAAGACGGAGGAGGGCTTAGAGGAGAGGTTATTTTTGGTGTTGACGGGGGCGGGGGGTGGGTTGGGGGTTGTGGCGGTGACGCATGTTGCGAATGTGAGGATTAGGAGGGTGGTTTGGGGGTAGGAAGTTTTATAAAAGAGGAGAAGAGGGTGTAAGTAAGTATGTTTTAGGGTTATATTGTCTTTGATGTAAATTTGGATGCGTGTATGATATGTTTTGGTATATGGGGACTTTCATGATAGTATCTAGATGCATATGAGTTTAATTGAGTATATGATATGTCTTCTGGTCACAAGTGTGAAGCATCACTACTAGACGCCCTGATACACACTACTAAATATGGGATATCCTAACCTATATCCGTTCATAAGATATATTAATGGATTGAGTAGTTACTGGGAAAGCAGCATGAAGAATGCTCATGCAAACCAGACGTGGGTGAATAAGGGTGCTAATCATGCGGGATACTGAGGATAGTCCTCGTAAGGGTTAGGATTTACTCGCCACTAGTGAGGCAAAAAGCCCTTCCAAGTCTCATTTATGAATTCTTCTCTATCATGCTCAAGCTTAGCAAGGTGCTCTTCAAGCCAAGGAATAGAAGCCGGTGAGCCCGTCTCTCATCATGAGGCTTACGCCATAGCCAAGTCATCGTCAGTCGTCCAGTTGACAGCTCTATAGGAGCTTCATTTGCTGCCCGTGCTCGACTCGACGGCATGATCTGTATTGTCAAGAATAAGAATCATCGTTCAGCAGAGCAATGCATTGTTTTTGGGCCACAGCCACTGTTCGGGGAAATGTCAACTGGTTCGTCAATATTTTGTACGTGACTTCCCGAGATTTGAATGTTTCTTGCTAGATCTTGATATGAAATAGCATGTTGCGGCAAAATGGGTATGGAAATATTTTCCATGATGCCCAATGACACTCATCCGAGCGCTGTGTCAAACAGTGTCCATACCAGTCCGCTTGACTGTTGGAGAGTCTCTTACTAATCTGTAGGACTGCAAATCTTATTAGTATCGACAGAGAGCGCATTCATGCGTCAACCAGATAAGCAGTGGCTATGTTGTAAACTGCACACTGTTACCTGTCAAGGCCTGGTTTGACCTACCACTGACAGTATTTGTCTAAATATCCAGAAACAGGATCAGATTATAGCTATTCAAATCCTAGGAGAGGTATCAGCCGGAACGACTCTGACCATGTACTCAGGGTCTCATGCAACACGGAGGTAAAGATCAGGTCGTAGGTAACTCCCGTAGGCAGCAAAGGGTTTGGTGAAGTGCCTAGCTATGGTGAATATTTCAACCATTTCCCAGCCCAGTCTCTTTACATGATCAATCAACAACATGAATTTGATTTTTCAACCGACCTACAGATTGATCCCATCATTTTCCTAACTAAACGCTCCTATATCTCTACTCGATAACTCCATCCCCAGCACCATGTCCGCCACCATCCAGACCCGAGTCGTTGATCTCAACCAGCTAATTTCCCGAGTCGTCAGTCAAGACCTTGAAGGTATTTCACTCCCCACCTCTTCTAAACTAGAACAGCATCATCTAATATAAGTTCCCTCCGCAGAAAAAGACATAGAAAACCTCATCCCATGGGTATATCGCCACTCCAATGTAACCGACAGAGATGACCAGTACGACTGGCCATCGGAGGATTCCAAATTCAAAGTAATTTTCGAGGATTTCTGGAATTACCAAGATGCTTTGGCCCCAGAAGCACTGAGCCTCGTTGGCCCTATAACAGCCGAAGTGAAGATTGTATTGCCCCGAAAGAACTGGAAAGTGGCGCGGCCAGATAACTATCACTCACAAAGTTTTATACTACACTTTTTATTGAGTACGGTCCATGCGTACCTTGAGAAAAGCAGGGAACCGAAATTGGAGGTCTGGTGAGTGGTCGCTCGTATTTCTACCTACTATATGGAGATAAAAGACTTATGATGGTAGGACGCCCAATGTGATATCGTCATCGAAGTACGTGATCGGCCGTCAGAAGTACGCCAGCATGCCATTGGCGCACGTGACGGTTGGTCCTTTTAAGGAGGGACGGCCGATAATATCTTGTCCTACGGTGCGTATATACTAGTATATATATCCTGTCATTGCCACATACAATTCTCTTAATTTTATCAAATGTGGACATGAATGTCTCTAATATCTAACAAGCTACAGTGGCGCGAAGGACAACCCTGGGACCAATTCACCGCAGAAGTCCACAGCGTCATGCTCGGCCAGCTAGCCAACAACATCCGCATCCGCGACCAGAAATTACAGGACCAGGAAGTTTTCGTGGTTGGATTCTACGGCCCACACATCTACATCGCCCGTGGATACTTCCCTGTTGAGACAATCAAAAGAGTACACGCAAAGGGATGTTCGGATGATGAATACCTCGAACTGAAGTTTACGCGAGGATATGATCCCTGCCGGAAGGACGACTGGTTGGAGGCTACTCGGGCGCTCTCAAGGCTATTTCGGTACTTAAGGAGTGGGAGTGCTAAGGTTGGCGCTATACAGAAGATTTTTTCTGAATCTGCTACCACGGTGGAGGGTTCATGAGAGGGTTGCAGCTTTCTTTATCACTTTTCAGTGGTGCTTTATTTGGGTTTTGGGATGCGTTGGATTACATGGTGGATAGGACAGTTATTGAGTGGGTTTAATTGGAGCATCATCGGGATAAGAATACTTTCTGTATTACTTGTAAGCTCCGGGTTCTTTGAGAGGCCCAGTTCTATCAAGATACCTCCTAACTAATTGAAGTATCTTACTCCTCTTTTTATGTCATGTAACTTCTCCTTGGCCTCAACCACCCCCCCACGACCAATGAAGTATACACCTAATCGGGCAGACTGTCAACCCATCCATCGCTGCAGCCACAATATTCGATCTTACCTCCCCACTGACAATGTACCCGATCAGTGCCCAAAAACCTCAACGCCTAGAGCCTATTCCGAGCCTATTATCAAAAATAAATGGATCATCATCTACCCCATACAAGATCACGCCAACAGCAATCTCTGCAGGCGGAGCCATCTTTATTGACCCAACATACTCCGGCCAAAGATATGCCGCGCTGATATAGAATAGCGTTCCATGTATACTTCTCACAAAATTCCCCGATCACTAGGTTTGATGACACGTAGGATAGTCTGGATTGCTTGGCAATTGTACTCTCGATTATCTCGTTGACCTCTCAGACCAAGGATTCTGGGAGAATCTCTCGTTTCCCAGAGCTTCGTTCAATCTCTTGAAAAAGATCAAGTGCAGACAGTTCGACTTGGTGGAAGATTGAGCAGCGGGATTGCATGGATGGCGTTGACTTCCTTGATGTCCCAGTCGGAGCTGAACGGGCTATTGGAGCTGAACGGGCTATCGGAGCTGAAGATGGGTAGATATTTGTGTTGTAGATGGGCCCAGAACGAGTGTCTCAGACATTGCAGACTCGGCATAATGGCGTTCCGAGTGAGAAATACTGCCATGTCCCACATAGATAAAGGACAGATAGACATGATCTGTAGTGCTGTGTTTGTGGTTGTTGTTGACATTCTGCATCCATAGGATGGAAGGGAGTAGAGTGTCTTCCTTTTATGTTGGGCGAGTACCAGAACTTAGCGGTAATGCAATGAGGTAGATGAAGTTCAAGAGTGATGAACTAGGATCAAGTATAATTGCTCGAAGATGATGATTGAAATCAAAGGCATCATCGTTGATGGAGCAAGAAGCTGGCTTAAATGCCCGTTGGCCCCAGTCATGGCTTTCACCAAACTGTGGATCTATTCACTTAGAGATCGTTGAGTGCAGGGCTGTTATGTATCAAGGCTGCAAATACTTTTGGAATATATACGAACATGAATGGGCATTCATTGAATGGATGATGCTGCTAAGTGAAATGCAGGAAGATGAGGCTATTTATAGGCAAGGCGCGTACTAGATTAGTAACCCTGATCTTTGGAAAGTTGCGATTCTGCTCTTTAGCAGATCGGAGTTTTTCACATAATGAAACTGGACTTTTTTTTAATCCAATCTATATACTATTATAGTGGTATGGTAGATAAAGGGTATTGTTATTGAATGTGTTAAATGTGAAGAGCATTGTCTTATGGAATTGGACTACTATTCACCTAACTTCATCACAGACCCTCAGCATGAATAAAAACTCTGGCCAAATTTTGTTGATATTGCAGACAAAACAGCATTATTACTCGCTCACTATTAATCAATCTGACCAATTCACCAGATCTAATCATCCGCATCCCTGGGATCATGTGTCTTCCAAAACTCCTCATACTCATCCTGTGTCTGCCCCGGCACGGGCTGATAAAACGTCAACGGGGCAAGAGGAATGCCCAAATGCTCCATCTTCTCGATCTTCTTCCTCGTGGTCTCATGCCTCTTGTTGACACTATACACACTAATGCGATGCGCCGAGGACGTCACATGCAGACCCCAATTCCACGCGGCCCGCACATTCAACGGCTGGGTATTCAACGAATTATCCCAACACCGACAGACAATCTCAATCCAACCCTCAACATCACACGGCAACTCCATCTCCCATGTCCGCCACGTCCACCTCCCCTTCTTCGACAACTTCTCCTGCGGCACCGCATACCAACTGAACCCTCCATCCGCTGACAACTCCACCCGCTCCGGCCACCGTCCACCCCCGGAATACGCCCATCCCTTGCACCGGATCTTCCCTTCATGAATAATCACCTGCTTCGTCCAGGGTGACATGATCGCCGAACTGACCGGCATTTCCTGGATCTGGATCCCATCCGTGGGAAGCTGGTTATATTTCCCAACCTGCTGGTTGAAGTAGAGATATTCCCTGCTCTGCACAGGAGCTCGGGATGGGTTCTCAATCGCCTTGATCCGGTACAGCCACTTGACGCTGCGCGCTCCGATATACCCCAACACCACGACCCGTAACGGATAACCATGGATCTTGGGCAATGGCTCCCCATTCATCTCCCACGCAAGAATCACCTCGTTCGCCTTGACCTTCGACCACGGCACACTCACCACGTAATTCATCGCCTCCAGATCCTTGATATACGTCTCCGCACCATACAACTCCAGATGCTTCGCGGGCGCAATCAACCCCCCACAATCCTTAATCACCTTCTTCAAACTGATTCCCACGTACCGCGCCGTTCCAATCGCCCCTTCCGCCCACGGCGCCTGCGGCACTTCATCGCCCTGGCCCCCATACAACGCGATCTGCTCGATCCGCCGCGTCCCCGAACACTGCATCGTCACGAGTTTCTCCATCCGCGGGAACCGCGTCTCATCCTGCAGATCCTCCAACGTATAGTTCTTCGGATGCTTGACCAGTCCATCCAGCTGGAGACTCCACTTATCCTTCTCAATCAGGGGAATGCCTCCGTGATTGCGCACAAAGTGCAGCGGATTCGGCGTGACCACTTTAGACGTCACCAGCCGCTTCGGCGGCTCCCCGTTATACGGGAACTGGAGCAGATGCAACATATCCGGATGTTTCTCCCGGAGCACAGTGCGCCAGCTATCATCCGCCACGGAGGCAAGTTCCCCGCCTAGCGCGGCGTGCCATTGCTTGAAGTCCTCGCCGGTCAGGACGGGGTTGGTGTCGGGGATAGGACCGAACATGTAATCCGGACAGGGGTCGAAGGTCTGGGAGGTGAGGATGCGGTGCGCTTTGGCTTTTTTGTCGGGGTAGTTTTCCCATTCCACGTATCTATACCAACCATATATTATTAGCATTCATCCCATCATGCATAACAAAAAGTAAAATATAGAAGGGAAATAATTACCCCTTCCACCCCTCCTTCTCCCTCTTAAACAACTCATTCCGATCCCCGACTGCCTCCACCGCCTCCTCATCTTTATACCGCTGCGTCGGCTTCGGCGGGTAGATGTGCACGGTGTCCAGGCCGGATTGATCGAGAATAGGCAGTTTGTGACCTGCCATGCCTTGCTCGATCTTCCATTCGTCGGGTCGGTTGGTCGTGTCCATTTGGGCGGTTAGGGTCGTCATGGTGCTGGTTTGGGTGGACATATCTCTTTTCCCCGTATTAGCAGCCCTTTATTGTTATATTAATGTAGGGTTTTTATGATGTGTGAGGAGGTTGATGTGGATGGATAGTGGGTAGATGGTGGATGTTATATATGCTTGATGAGATATAACAAGAACAGAAAGTACTAGTTGCAGTGGTAGTGTATGGGAGGAACACGCCGGAAGCAGCAGATTCGAAAAAGAGGGGAAGGAGGGGGGAATGCATGTAGATTAGTTACATGGTTGGTTTAGTGAGTGGTGGAATGCTGGAACGGGTGACTTCATGACTATCACTACCACTACCACTACCACAGACCACACTAACTAACTATAGCATACTAGTATATCCCTGTTGTGTGTTTACGTCCGAGGAATCGCCGGACCTGTCGGGTTGAGCGGGGAGGGGGGATAAGATGTGATTTCTGACTGGGTTGAGTCAGATTGAGATATTTCTTGTTTTGGGGGTGGTGGTGGTGTAGGTACTTGTGGTATACTTGTTTCATAGTACATGGATGTAGGGAGGAAGGTTGTAGGGCTGGGGTAGCTAGCTGGTGTGGACTGTGGAGTGGGTGCGTTATCATTAGGGTGGATCTTGGACTTAGCGATCCGCACTTAGTATGGTAGACTGTTCAAATGAGGTTGGTAAGTTGCTTTGGAATGGACGTGATTGGTGAATGTGCGGTCTAGATCCGGAATTGGGTTTGGGGGGAGGGGTTATTGTTCCGATGCATCCGGATGTTTTGTTGATCAGAGCAGTGTGGATGTTATGAAGGGGGTGGGCAGATAAGAGTTGCTTTTCTGTGTATATTTGTTTTACTGTAATATAACGTATGCCGTGATGTCATTATAGGTTTGATTGGTATACTGCTCGAGTATGAACGTGTTTCCAAATCAGAATAAAAGATAAATGAAGACGAAAGAGACGTGTACAGCATGTGAAAACCTTACAACCCGAGGAAGCGGTATTGAAACTGCCCCGTCACAGTCCATATGCAGCAGATTCCTCCCGAAGGTTGGATTGGCCACTGCCATGCACAAGAATGCTCCTTGACATTTTTTCTCCGAAAGTACGAAGCAATGACAGCTGGCATGCATTCTTGACCATCCTAAAACAACAAACACTATAATCAACACTTTTATCCCCCTAGCTACAAAGTACAGCACATCTACGTATCTATTTTCTACTTCTTACTCTCCCGCTTCCTCACCACCTCCTCCGTAGCCTTTTTCACTCCCTCCCCTAACCCCGGATCCACCATCGAAAACAGCTCTACATTCATCAGCACCATCACCTAAAACAAACCAAAGGAATCAAGGGATAACTCACCGTAAACCCTCCCCCTCAACTTATCACTCCAAACCTGCCCCAAATGCACCGCCACATTCCCAAAGAACCGTTCCTGATGGCCCTCCTCCTTCCCAATCACCTTCCACAGCCCCCTCGCTTGCACGAAATCATCTTCATAGAGCCCATACTGAAAGTTGCTCACCTGGCCTACCCACTTCTCATGCTCCGTGAGGGTGCTGACAGCCTGCGGTGCTTGTCCTTTCACGTCTTGGTAGAATTTAATGGGCTTCAGAGATGACCCGACGTAGTTGGGATCAGCGCCGTAGTTATCAGAGAAATTCATTTGTCCGTCGCGCTGGTAGGGACAGTACACTTGGGTTTTGGCCGCGTTGGTTGGGAGTTGTTGGTAGTTGGTGCCGACGCGGTAGCGTGCTGCGTCGGGGTAAGAGAACATACGCGCTTGGAGCACTATACCATATATATTAGTCTTGGATTGGACTGAGGAACAGATAGTGGGGATGTACTTGGGTCTGCGGATGGAGCAACACCAGGAACCAAATTTGATGGGGAGAAAGCGGCTTGTTCGATGTCGGTGAAGTAGTTATGAGGCTTGTATCGATTAGCACAATGTTGTCATCACGTCGGGATAAAAGTAGGGAGCATACATTCCGGTTCAACTTCATAGTCCCAATCTGCCGCAGCGGAAAGTCACTATGCGGCCACACCTTGGTCATATCGAAGATATTCCACCGATAGTTTTCAGCCTGCTCGGGAGACATAACCTGCACGTAAACATTCCAGGTCGGATAGTCTTTCCGCTCAATGGCTTCGAAGAGATCCTGGATGAGAAAGTCGGGATTTTCTCCGGCCATGCGGACGGATTCTTCCTTGGTAAGGTTTTTGACGCCCTGGGTGGTTTTGATGTGGAATTTGACGTATTTGAAGGAGCCATCCTGATGCAGAGTTATTGGGTAACCATATATCCGTGAAACAGGGGTAATACCTTGAGGGTGAATTTGTAGGTATGTCCACTGTAGGCATTGATGTGTCTCAGGCTCGCAGGGGTGCCTCGATCACTGAAGAGATGGAGGAGCTGATGGAAGCCTTCTGGGTTTCCAGCGTGGAAGCTAACTAGTTAGATACCTACTTGATAGTATGGCTATGTGTACGTACTCCCAAAACTATCAATGACAAGTTAGCACCCATCTCAACACCTAAAGTCTTAGAAGGAAGAAATACCATGTTCGGATCCGGCAAATGAGACTGCGGATTGCGCTTATGAGACCGATTCAGCGACGGGAACTTGAGCGGATCGCGAATGAAAAAGACGGGCTATCACCAACACATTAGCTTATTATACCCTCACATTACATCTCATCAATGAGAGGTATTACCGTATTATTAAACACCCAATCCAAATTCCCCTCATCCGTGTAAAGCTTCATCGCCCAGCCATGCACATCACGCAGGGTATCGGCTGATCCAGCCTCCGGACCAACGGTCGAGACGCGCAGAAGTAGCTGTGTGGTTTTGCCGACTTCGCTGAGGAAGCTGGCGGAGGTGATGTCGGAGCAGTCGTGGGTGCAGGTGAATTCGCCGTATGCGCTGTGCTGTTAGTAGGGTTGTTGCTGGGGAGGGGGAAGGGGGAGGAAATGTACCCGGCTGCTTTGGCGTGGACTACGCTGTTGAACAATACTATTAATACTTGTAATGATGGTGATGGAGGTAGTGAAATTACCGCTCTGGAATCCGCTCACGAGCAAAGTGAGAGAGAGTCTCAATGAGCTGGGTATCCTGCATTAGAAGCAGGCCGCCATTGCCGCTGCGCAACTGCACCGAACTGGCGTTGCTGGCGTAGGGGCAGCCTGGACCATTAGTATAATTTACAATATGTACACTTATAAGGACATACCTTCCGCAAGGGTATAGTAGCGTTGATCCATTATTCCTAGTGAAGCAATTGACAAAATCGACAAGTTGCAATTATCCACTACAAAACACTCAATTCCCTCCAAAGAATCATGTTTATTCTTATACCCTGGCCTCCCCTAAGTCAATTACATCACAACATACTACCCAATGCTTATCAAACTTTACCACCACCACCACCATCGAATAAGACACACTCTTTACTCATCCAGAATGGCTCGTAAAATCGTAGCCAAGGTAGGCAGCCTACTTCACCACAACCCTAACCCCCATCCCCCCCTTAACCTCCCCACCTTTCACCACCACCCCCAAAACCCCCCAATAGCCCTTCCTCACCCCCCGAAATGCCTCCCTCAATCCAGGCCTCACTCGATCCAATCCCGGTCCGGGCTCTCTCACACTCGTAATTACCACCACTGCCCCATCATCCTGATTCCCAAAATGTATCTCCGTACCCGGAGGTAGATTTCCCAACTCGATGCCCTCCGTCGTCACGTTTTCGCCGATTTCACCCGGAGTGAAGGGCTTGGTTCCCTTGAAGGAGGAGGTGGAGGAGATGTGACGGAGGGATTCGATGGGGAGGAGGTGAATTTGCCGGAGGTTATTTCCTTGCGCTGTTGTTGGAGAAGTGGTGGTGTGCTGGGTCGTTTTGCCCGCGTGGCAGTCGCCGCTGACGCCGTGGTTGGGGAGGAGGGTTATGGAGGGTACTGGGGTTTTGGAGATGGTGTGGGTAGGGGATTTGGAGACGGAGAGGACGCGGGGGAGGCTGGTTGTTCCTGTTAGGGTTGTTGTTGTTGTTGTGGATGTAGTGGTGGTGGTTGTGGACATTGTGGTGTGGATGTGATGGTTTGTATGCAGGGTGATTGTTTGTTAGTATGATTAGTATAGAGTGGATGGTTAGGAGTAGATGAAGTGGGATATAGTCTGGGGTGATACTAATAGAATGATGGCGGGGTTACCCCTCCTGCCAGCTCAGCGACAGGGATCATCATCATCATCAGATGATTAGTCTCTGCTTGACGGAAGCTTAAATGGTTAGTACTGTGTAGATATGGTTGATTTCTTATTGGGGCGGTAGATCTCCATACTTAGAATATAGTCTTCAACTTGACAGATATTCACAATATTCACAATGTCACAATATTCCATATAGAACGGCAGCTCACTAGGTTAACCCGCCAAATCCCGATCCCATCTCCCTCGAATACAATCCTCCAAATCCACTTCCCTCACCAACAAGCCATCATCATCCAACGATACTCCTCCCCTCGATCCCGCCAGAATCTCCCCAAACGGACCCACTATCCACGCTGCCCCTCCACACCCATTCTCTCCCGACGGCCCTTCCCTTCCACTGCCACTACCACCACCAACATGAACATGTCTCTGCTCCACTCTCCCCGGACTCATCTCCCCATCCACATTCGCACTCACATCGGCATTCGACTGTCCTGGCCACACAATCTCATGCGGTCCCTCGGCCGTCACAGACCTCCGTGGTCCCATAGCAGCAGCTGCAGCTGCACCACCACCACCATCATCCGCATGCCGAACCTCCGGCCAGACAATCTCATGTGGTCCTTCAGCTGTAACAGAAAGGGACCGTTTCTTCGTGCTCGGGGAAGACTGCCAACTGGGGATACGGGTAGGAGAGCCAAATTGGTGTTGATGCGCAGGTTGAGAAGTAGTGTAACTTCCCAGAACGAATACCCTTCCTTCTACAGCTACGGTGCGCAGTAAACTCTCCCAAAGGCCGGTTTCATCCCCACCATCGCTGTCACTACCATCGAGATAGGAGACACCTCCGAGGGAAATGTAGACATGAATACCAGCTGTGTATAGTTCCTGCCGAACAAGCGGATGGTAATTCTCCTCGCATAAGCCGACCCCTATCTTCACCTCGAGCCCACTTTTGCAATTGATAGTAATTGGAGATGTATGCGACTGACCGAGAGAGAGATATGTCTTTGCTGCGCCGGTCTATACGCTCACCACCAAGCATTAGCAAGCCCGTTTATCCTCATACAGAAAGATAAGAGGTACAAACCAACGCAAAACACCTCCTCTTCTCCACCAACCCATCCGCAG